GGCGAACACGTCCTTCTTAAAAATGAACGAGCATAGAGCATCTTCCTGCTCACGTTTCAATGAAAACCCCTAATCTAATCCTTCCGAAACCGAGTCAAAAATTGCCATCAGCGCCATCGGTCCTTCACACACGACTATGCGGAGAGAGGGCTGCTGCAGACGGGCTGCGGTTAGCCCTGGCTGCCGTTAGCCTCGGAGGTCTGCTGGTTGCCGCGGTCCTCCCAACTTCAGAAATAGTTTTTTTTAATTAAGCAGTAAATCGCTAAATGGACCATATAGTGATGCTTTAAAGTATGATATTCTCACCTTAAATGATCTTACTTTTATTGCACAACAGAAAAGAGAAGTTTTAACTTTCAATGGAGCGCTTCATTGAAAGCTGCTGCTGCTGCGGTGCATGCTACAGTTCAACAGTTGTTGCCATCTTCCGTGTTGTGCTTTCTCCAGCATCGCGCAGCTTTGTTGTCACACCCTCAAAACCCCACCTGCTTTGCATCCAGACATTCAAAACATCTCTGCGTTGTGATTGGCCCACCAGTTCTAGAGCCTGGGGCATTGATCGAGACTAGACCAACTCGCAGGCAAAAATGATTTTGGCCACCCGCGGATTGGGATAGTTTACTTGCCTACCTTCCTGCAGGAAATTTCAATTAAAATGGCAGTAGTTCCTCCTGTTTGCTCAGATGGAAAGAGGACTGGAATTAAGTAGGCGTCCTTAAATGCCCAACTTCTATGCTCCACTTATCTGGAACAAACTCCCAGACGACTGTAAAAGTGCTGAAAGCCAGAGTTCCTTTAGATCAAAGGTTAAAACACCATTTGTTTTAAACTGCCTTATACTGTTAAGTTAAACTGCTAACTAAGGTATCAATAGTTTTAAGTTTGTGTTTCAACTGTTTGTCAAGCAGTTTAATTCTGCATTTGCTTTATTTGCATTAGGACCAATAACTGGTTCCCACGAGAAAACATTCTCTTCTTGGGGTGCAGGTTTTATGTAGGACTAAGGTGTGAATTTTGTTAAGGTTAGGGTTAGCTACGAGTTGATAAGGGTCAGAGTTAGGCCATAGAAATGAATAGAAGTCAATGAAAAGTCAGCACAAAGATAGTGTGACACAACATGCCTGACAATGTGCAATTTGTGATAAGATGGCAGCATGTCCAGGACATGCCCCGCCTTTCACCCATAAACTGTCACTGATAGGATGTTGTTATTCCAATCAAATCCGAAAATATCAAACAACATTGCATTTAAGGAAAGCTATGTATGCATTTTTGCTGATAAAAACACCTAGTCTAAAAATGGATAATCATCAGCACAAAATAATCTTAGTGGGATTGTACATGCTAATAAGTTTCCACATAGCAAAAATGTTACTCAATGCAATTCTATTTTTTTTTTAAAAAAAGGTTTATTGTGTACAAATGAAACAAACCCTTTGGTTTTGTTTTGCAGGATTGAGACTTTTCTGTAGCTGTTTTTTTTACTTTTTGTGTCAGCTTGAGAACTGGAGACCAAACCATATCTGCCTCAGACTGCCAGTTAAGTCACAATAGCAATGATCCAGTTTACTGCAGTTTAGGAATGTAATCAGGGTATCTTAATCTTGCACCAAAAATGCTGAAGAAACTCAAAGACAGCTCAAACAAAGTCAAAAGTCTGGTTGGGGAAAGAATCCATGTTTAAATATTTATTTTTCACCCTGTTTTATTATCATTTCAAGGATTCTTATTTGTATTTTATCTGATGCTACTAATATGCAACAATGTCCCCTTGTGTAAATGGGTGTCCATGTCTGTTTGTATTTGATGAAAGAGTTGTTTTGTTGTGTTTGCTTTAAAATTTTTAATTTCATTGCAACATTGAGCATTGCCATGGGAATGAGCATTTTAAATGAAAGGACCTTCTCATCTACAGGATTTTAGTCTCATTTGGTGCCACTCACTTGGTGATAATGCTGCAGAAGAGCGGGACATAAACCCTCAGGTCCTCCGGTAGGGTGTTTAGACTGCACATGGCTCTGAAGTACACCAAACCATTTGTGGGCTGCTCACAGTACTGAACCGGGACGTGTCCTTTGGCAATAATGAAAACACTGCATCAGGCATAAACAGACACTTTGCCCTCCATGTAAATCATAGAGATAGAGAAAAGCAGTACCTGCAGTGCCCATCTGAACAGCAGTAATGGGTATCGTTGGTTGGATGTCAGACACTTTGAGGGCAGGTAGACATGAGGCATCCTGAGTTTTACTCTGAGTTTCCAGCAACTCCAGACCTTTTAAGAAGAAAAAAAAAAAGCAAATCCGAATACTTGAGTCAGAAATAGATTATTGTACCTCCCAGCTTAAGATGAAGTTACCGTTTTTTCCAGACTCTAGTGCGCACCTCACTATGAGGCACGCTCCCAAAATTTTTTGAAAACCTGGAAACATACATGTGTAAGCCGCTGATATCAACTGAACTATCTCCCACCCAACCTGTAGGGGGAGCTCTACATATAGCCCCTGGAGTTGGGTTGAAGAAGTAAGCTAGCTCCTGTCAGCTTTTTGGCTCGCAGCCGTAAGAGCTTCTGATGAAAGATGGGGCTCCGTCAGCTCTTTATTTCAGCTCTGTGGAGATCAGCCCAGTCTCTTCATTGGTTTGGCAACTTTAATGCAGCAAATAAATGGCAAAATATATGAATTTAGGACATTTGTTCTCTGTCA